AAATAGTTAATTTGATATTAATATCGATATATTTTTTTCAAATTTTTATGATATCTTAAAACTTATATTTTATTCAAAAATAAAAATATCATCGCTATCTAAAAATCACATAAGATCATATTATAACATCGGCTGGGATAAAAAATAAAATGAAATATTAAAATCAAGATGTATCTCGCTGCATTGCGCGAATACCCTTCTAGTAATGCTTAAATTTTTTGTGAAAAGTTAAATGGTCATTTATATTATGCTATTGCTAATTGTTTCTCTAAGTTTTTGTAAGTATATAATATTTATATACGGTAAAAAGAACAAATAAACTCACACACCCTGCTCATTTATGGTGAGGTTTGAACCTCTGACCTTTTAGGAGGTCAAAGACTCACATACCGCTAGGCCGAAAGCCCTTTGATAAGATTTTTTTTATTTGCTACCATTGTCCAAGGCTATTGCTTAACATTGCTATATATATCTGTCTACTTGATTACTTGACAGCTTTCATGCTTCAACAATTCAACAAACAACTTTAAGTTTTAACTTGAGCTCATTAGCATACCATAGCTACTCGTCGGTTGTTCTTATATACTCATGCTTTTATTGTCTATTGTTATTTGCTTATATAACTGTAACTGCTTTTGTTGCCTACACTATAAAACTGAGGACTATCAGCGACGGAAAATTCCGTCGCTAAAGGTGGTATCCGTCGTTCATAGTTTGTCGGTCAAAAGCTTGTGGATAATGTCATTTTTCGTCGCTAAAGGTGGTATCCGTCGTTGATAGTCCGTCGGTCAAAAGCTTGTGGGTAATGCCATCAGCGATGGACTAGCGACGAGAATGTTTCAGCGATGGATTAGCGACGAAAGGTTATCAGCGATGGATTACGGAGGGAAATCTATTAGCGACGGAACACTTTAGCGACAAATAAGCGATGGAATATTTAGTGACAGATTAATAACGGAATTTTTCAGCGACGAATTAACTAAGGATTAGCAAGGGTTTTTAGCGACGGATTTTCCATCGCTAATCCGTCGTTGATTTTTAATAATTTAAAAAAAATGCTTATCTCGTGTATTTTTTTAATACAAAATATGCTCATAAAAAACAAGTCAAAACTATCCAACAACCAATTCATACAATCTAATCTTCAAAAGTTAGTGAAGTAACAATATAACTACTGAAAGGGCCAGGAGTGGCTCGAGGTAAGGGAGGGGGGACAGTGCATCTTGACTGCCGCATAAACGCAACAAACTGACGTGATAATGCGATCTGCCCTGCTAAGTAAGTAGAGTATCAAGCTTGTGTTGCCTCTAGATCTGCCATATTCTTTCATTTGGCCTCTATTTCAGCCTGATAGCATTCCACCCACAGTTGCGTCTCCTCCTCTACCCTTGTCAAATTCTCTCCCAAGTCCGCTATCTGTAAATATTCAATATTTGACAAAAACCAGCAATTTGTTTGCAATGAAAAGTAATGACAAAGTACATAACAATATAACCAATATACCTCCGCTGCTGATCTAATATCCTATGATCTCCTAATGCTACTACTACATCAACCGATCATAGCATAAGAGAGATCCTAGGAGGTCCCAAAACTAAAAAGACGGCTCGTCTTCTGTTCTTCGACATTCTCACTACAACAAAAAGAGGTTTATATGACACTTTTTTGGGACACTTTTCGAAAACCGTCCTTTAAAAAGGCTAATACGACACATTAGTTTATGAGTCCTATTTTATTTAATCTTATATGACTCTTAATTTTGATGTCTTATTAACATATCCTGACGTCCTATCATGTAATCTAATACGACACTTTTGAATGTCATGTTATTTTATGGTCTAATAGGACACTTTTACGTGTCGTATTATTTTAAAGAATAATAGGGCATTTTAAAGTGTCATATTATTTTAGAATTTAATAGGACATTTTTAGTGTCATGTTAATTTTAAAAGTTAATAAGACATTTTTGATTGTTGTATTAGTGTTTAAAAGCTAATAAGACACTTAAAAGTGTCCTATTAAAATTTAAAATGATATAAATAACATATTATATTTAGAACCATTTTGAACTAGGCCCAAATATCAAAAGGACTTTTAATATCGGATTGATCTGTTCATTGGGACTTTCTTATCACTTTTAATCAGCCCATATTATTAACCTCACTTATCATAACTTATCAGCTCATTTTATTAAACCCATTTCCTACTTTACCATTTCCCCTTCACGTGGAGGGCTTCACAACTCCCCTGGACGAAGCTACGATCACGCTGTATTCCCTGTACCTACTTACGAAGCTACGATTTGATTGAATCACATAATCAGTTTTCCTTCATCCATTTGATTTGTTGATCGAGGAAATTTCCATCGTTTGCAGGTTTTCGGATTACGTTTATTTGAATTTTGTGATTTGGATTCTGATCTAGTACTTTTTTCCCGTGGTTTTTTGTTTTTGTTTGGAATAGCGTGTGCATGTTGCTTTGGCGAGTTGGAGGTTGGTTGCCTAATGATCGGAATACTGTTGATTAGTAAGAATCGAGTAAGTTGTTCATGCTCATTCTCTGTTTAGGCTATTCAATTGCAGGTGATAATAATATTTGAAATTCAAAGCCCTCCGCCCCCTACGCGTCTCGCTGCAATTTCCAACGACCTTCTTCGTAAAACCCTAACACTCGAATCTTCATTCATCCATGGAGCAGGTACGTGTTTATTTACTCGTCTGTAGCTAGCTACTGGGGCCGGCCATTAATTGAAATTACACTAATGATATGTAAACGGTTTATTACCGTATTCAGTCAAGGAATTGAATTGCCATGCATCATATGGATTTTGTGTATAAATGAATTATTACAGTAACTTTGATGATTGCTGTGGATTTGTTGTTATTTTTGTACAATATGGTGATGAAATATGACTTTTCGGTGTTTGTATGATTCTGTAATAATATAATGTTAATAATTTAGCTAATCTAAGGCTATTTAGATGATGCTTTTCAATAAAATTCCAAATGAACTAAAATCTATGAAGATGAATATTTTGGAATAGAAGGGTGTATATATAAGCTATGAGTGTGTATTTAATGTAATAGTATTATAGATTTCATTAGTCTTATTTACAAGCCATGTGTGCAGAGACATAGATTTTGTTTAGATAGAGAAACGAGAAAAAGATATGGTGGTGCATCCCACATGTTTGATTATATGACAGACCCACACCCTCACATTTCAGGTACATATATAAACCTTGATTTACTTGGAAGTTTCAAATAACCTTCCAATCATCTTCTCTCTATATAAGAATGTTGTTGGGCAGTTTATTGTAAATAATCTATATCATATTGGATTCAGGTATAACTTAGTATCAGGTTGTAATTGAGCATTTGTATGTCTTTTATGGAGGTGTACCTCTGTGTTCGTATCTTCTCTTATAATAAWATCTATGTAGTTTTAGAGCTGAATGGGCACTCCAAGTCAGCTTGCCTTCTTTAGATGTTCCTACTAAGTTTTAGCAGTTCTCAAAACTAAAGCTTAAAGCTTAATATTCTGTTTCAACTGCATATCCTGTTGTGTGAGAACGAACCTGTGTATGCAATCTCCACCGTTCACTGGTCTCTTCCAAGCAATCAAACACTACTTCTGTCTTTATTCAGTGCTTCCTCTCTTGTTCTTGTTTTCTGCAACTTTTTGGTGTTAAATTTCTATAGGAGTTCACATATTATTCGCTTCATAAGTGCAAGAAAGCAAGCATGAATTCAAACAACTGGCTTTCGTTTCCTCTTTCTCCAACTCACCCCATCCTTACCAAAGGTACGTAGTTTGCTGTCTCTGGTTGTCACTATCTTCTGATTAACATATTCATTTGGTTGTTAATGCCAACAATAAGAACAATTGTTGTCTCTGGTTGTCACTCCCAAGGGTCTTAATTTTGTGTGTTCAAATCAAGAAATTGTACCTGAAAATTTCATACTAACAAAAATGTGCCAACTATCTCTGCATCACGACACCAAAAAAATCCTTTATATTCCTCGAGGCAGCAAGATATATATATGACTAAGAGAACCAACTGCAATTTAATCTCTCATTTAACCATTTCCAAACCTCGTTCACTAAAGTTTGAAGCTCAGAGCTTGAAACTTTTAAGATCAAATTAGGGAGTGACATATAATATATCAAAATCGTAGCTTGAATCTATGAAGAACAGACGAGAGAACACCGTTCTGAAATTAGGAAGAAAGGAGTAAAGTACGTAGCTTCTGTCCAGCACGCATCTACAGACTTTGACACAGAATAAGTCGTATCTGCACATTGAATCTGAGAAAACTCAAAATCTCAAAGATGTAGATATATGTTTCATCTTTCAAATGCAACTGGAATCATGAATTTTGGAGCTTCGAGATGAAAGTTGTGCGCAAAAAGCTACAGCAGCGCAAAGCTGACAGCAAGCTTTTAAAAAATCGGTTGATATATTTTAGAGATTTTAACTTTTCGTTATCTAGTTTGGAGTATATATAAAGAATTTGTTGGAGATGCTCTGATTAACTAGTCATATTTGATCAACTAAATGATAATGTAAACTAACCTAAAAAAGTTAAAGATTATTCGCATCTTGGCAGGGCATCCATTTGCAGCCATGGTGGATTTATCCTCTTTTTTGATTATTTACAGATCTGAGCCTCACATGGCATGAAAATTGGTTGCATTGGTATTTCTTTCTTCACTTTTTTCTTTTTAAAACAAGTGTTACACTATTTTGTTGGCATACTTGTAAAATTCTTAAGAGTTAGTGACTTTCAATCACATTTTTATGCTAGTCTAATGGAGCTTGAGTCTCAAAAATTATAGCTGGAAAATTTGGACTTCTGTCAAGAGACTTGAGTTTCTGCCAATGGAAAGATCAAAGAAGAAAAAGCTTGAACAAGCCTTCGATTCGAGTGGATCAACATTTCGGTTGTGACAGAAGATAGGGTCTTGGTGCCTTTAAGGTATGCATGCAAACTCCTCCTTTCTGTTCCATTCCATTCCTAGGGTAAAGTAGGTCCTTAGCTAGTTAAACACTTCCGTAGTTGATCACTGGACGTTCTTTTTCATTATGATTTATTTCCCTTTGATCCAACTTGGAGAATATGGAGTTGATGGGGTCAAGTTTAATCATTTATCTTACAAGATTATTATGGAACTTAATAAATTAATCTTATAATCTTGTTCTTCAGTCACGTTTTTGTAGGTTGGGATGTTGTTCATCATAAAGGAGGGAAAGTTTGGTTAGAGCATATGGATTGTTTATTACAATTGCAGACGCTATTGGAGCAACAATCGCATAGCCTTGTCTTTTCACTTTGATATGTTAATCTTTTAACACTTGTGAGTTTTAGCAAGTGTAGAATTTTTTTATTACATAACTTCAAGCTCATATACCTGTTTTTGAATTGTAGATTGTGCATGACGAAGATTGATATCTCTCGTTTGTAGGACACAATAAGATTTTTTGTATTTGCGTAATTCTTGTTCAATACTTAGTTTTGTCATGATACAACTTTGTGGTGGATACATAGTTTGGTAGTTGGTACTCATATAAGTACTTGTACAACTTTGAATTTTGTTTTATCAAATCAATTTGTAAAACTTTCATATATGCTTCTAAATGTAATATTACAGAAGGATTTTATAATTGGATGATGCGTCTCGCATTATAGTCATTTAGGACGCTTTTAGTGTTAATTATTATAGCCTATTAGGACACTTTTTTGGTATTACTTGGTTTATTTTATAGGACACCAAAATTTGTTTCATAATTATATAACTTATTAAGACACATATTTTGGTACTATATAATTGCTTTAGCGACATTAAATTTCGTCCTATAAAAGMATTTTTTGGGAYRCCCATATTTGTTTTTAAATGTAAACATTTTGTGACARCATAAAGTGTTCTATATTATAGTCTATTAGGACATTTTTTAGTGTTACTTAAACCATTTTATAGGACTATGGAATTTGTATTATAATCCTAGAGTTTTTTAGGAACCTCAAATTCATCCCATTAACCTAATACAATACCTTTAGATAAGACACACATATTTTTTGTCCTATAAACTTATAAGTCCTATTAACTACCTTATTAGGACACTAATGAGGTCCTCTAAACCCCTTTTTGTTGTAGTGTCTACTCCCAAAGAGATGCCTCATTAGGAGGAGGGGTGTCTGCACTAGACTATGACTCATCCCTAAGCGATTGAAATCACTCCTATGGCTTACAAAAACAAACATGGGTGTGCTTATATATGTAGAAATTTCAGCAGCATAACGATTGTAAATCAAACAATGTCAATTCAAATTAATAGCATCACTTATTAAAATATATTACTTTAAACCTACCAAATGTATCTATAAACAAATTAATAGTTTTAGCCGCTTGAGGACTGAACTAAGGAGGATCAGTAGATGGGGAAGACGAACTCATAGTGAACTTTCGGTTTGTGTAGTGGCTACGCTCAAACATCTCAGTAGCAGTCGGCTCGCGACCCATTATTTGTGCCTACATTACAATTAAACATAGACAACTAATTACATATTCAAAAAAATTGTATACTCACCGTCTTGTCTCGATGTTTTGCAATACTGATTGATCCCCCAATATTCCTAGATGAGACCCTATCAAACTCGATGAGTCGATGTTCTTATTGGCCTTATTGGTCTTGAAAGTTAAATTGTAAGTATGAATGAAGTTGAATGTCTTTTAAACGAGTTAAAAAGCCTGTGTAATTAGGGGTGCTCAAAAACCCGACCAACCCAATCCAACCATGCGAAATAACTCAACCTGAAGCAACAAGATGTCTAATCGAGTTGTAAAATTTTCAAACCGTAGGTATTTGTTTGATATTGAGTTACTATTATTTGAACTCAACTCAATCCGATGAACTTGATATCCTTTTATTTCTGGGATTTGATATGATTGTTGAATTTCTATATATATACATATTAGACAATTACACTATCACGTACGCTCTTCATATCCACATATTTTCAATTTATTCACATTTCTATATAACTCATTCGTATATATGTTCAGTAATTGTGAACATATATATGTAAATTGAAAAATTTAACTGAATGTGAGAAGTGTGTATAAGTTTTATCAAATGGTTGATGATGGAAAAAAAAAATTATGAGTAGAGAAATAACATAATCAAAGTTAGAAGAATATTTTAATGTACCAAAGTATCAACCCGACCAACCCGTACAGTTTGTGTTGGGTTGGTCTACACTTTGGTTTGGGTTGGGTTGGGTTAAGATTTTTCAAACCGCAAGCATTGGGTTGAGTTGTTCAAATGTATTCAACCCGTTCATCCCAACCCATGAGCACCCATACGTGTAATGACTTAACTATTTGAAAGTCAAACTGTAAGTTTTGAGGAGTTTTAGATTAATTTAAAACTCTATGTGTAATGATTTGACTATCTAAAAGTCAAAGCATAGGTTTAGAGGAGTTTTGGATGCCTTTGAAACTCAAACCATATTATGTTTAAATCAAAGAGAGGATTTTGAAATGAAATAAATTAGTTTAAAACACAAATCTATGTTTTTTAAAATTTCAGCCACATAACGCCTATAAAATGAATATTTCCAAATCAGGTCAATCCTATTGTTTGTCCAACAATTGGTAACCCAACTACAAAATAAATATAATCAAGCCTAACGTTTGCCCAACAATTGACAACTTAACTAATTAACAAAGTAGAAATTTCTAGTAATAGCAATAAACATAACCAACGTATATGTAAAATTTAACAAGCAAACATAGAACAAAATTTTACAAAATTCTATGATATGTTCAACATAACCCAACTTCTAAAGAGCAAACAAAAATTTACGATTTAACAAATTCCTAAAGAACAACTTCTGAAACACAAACATATAACCTTTTATAATTCGGGTTATTGTAAAGAACAACTTCTAAAACATAAACATATAAACTTTTATGATTTGGTTAACCCAAAACATATATAGAGCAAAATTTAACAAACATATATAAAGTAAGGTTTCACATTTTTTCAATATAACCCTAATGTTTGTCCAACAATTAGCAACAAAAACTAACAATGATGTAAAAACAAAACAAGACCCAATATTGACACACATTTATATACATACACAAAACACATATATACACAAATACATATATATATATATATACACACACAAAAAACACTTATATCCACATAAATACCCTTGAGATTTCAAAAAAAGACGTATAAATTTAGAGTTAGATGTTAGGGATGAAATCGGTTCACAGAAGTGGATGGTTGTGGCTAGAGTGGTGGACGGAGGATGGTGAGGGTGGTGTTTTCTAGCAGTGGTGGTGGAGGTGGCGTTTTCTAGCAATGGCAGTGATGGTAGGGCTTGTCATTGGAGTGGGAAGGGTGGTGGTGGGCCTCATCGCTAGAAGGGAAGAGCAACGGTGGTGGAAGTGGCATTTTTCGACAGTGGTAGTGATGGTGGGGCTCGTCGCTGGAGTGGTGAGAGAGGTGGTGGTCACTAGCAAGTGGGAAGTGCTCGCCAGCAGGTGGGAGGTGGTTGCCAGCAGTCGGGAAGGGAACAGTGGTGGTCATCGGTTGTAATGGATCTGGTCTCCTTCACCGCTCTCGTTCTTGTTCGTCGCTGTCTCTTTTTTCTCTAAGTCAAACAACATGTACATGGGTCGGCTAAGGATGTTTTTATGTAAGAAACAACGATGGATTTCCGTCCTTAATATTTGTTAATTACTTTTTAAATTAATTTAATTATAAATTTAATTAATTATTAATTAATAAATTATTACTATTAAATATTTATTAAAAATTAATAAGATGATAAATAATCTTTAATTACAATTTATTAAAGAATGAATGAATTTTAAATTATTACAAAATTAAAATTAACCGATATAATCCACTAAAGCCCAATAATACTGAATGAAGCCCAATAAGCCCAACAGATCAATTAAGGCCTAATAAAACCGTTAGAACAGATTAAAGCCTAATAGATCCATTAAAACTTGATGAAAGCATTACAATTGACTAAGATTCTCTAAAGTCTAGTATAATCTATTAAAGCCTAATATAATCCATTAAAACATGTTAGAATGGGTTAAAGCTCAATATAATTCATTAAAGCCCAATAAATCTATTACAACCCACTAAGATCTATAAAGTCCAATATAACTCATTAAATCCCAATATAAATCATTAAAGAGTAATATAGCCATTGAAGCCAAGTATAACGAATTAAAGACTAATAAAACTCATTAAAACCCACTTGATCCATTGAAGCGCACTAAGACCGACTATATATGAATGCGATGTCTATTGGAATTTGGACTCGATAAGACGATTAAGATCCATTATAGTCCAATAAAACTCTTTGTGAGTTATTAAGGCCCAATAACATCAATGGTGACTTATTACCTATTTGTATGAGGTTATCATACAACACAAACACAAACACAAACACACACATTATAATTGTCTATACATGCATTCACATATACACATACATGTATATATACATATACACATCATATGTGATTACCAAACATCACACACATTATATATACATTCACAAATACAGATGCATATAAACATATATACACATATATAATTATTCCCTCAACAATAAATACATAGAACCAACCGCGATTTGCAACCAACACACATACATATCATTATAAAACAGACCGACATATATATATATATATATATAACACAGACCGACATATATATAACATATATATATATATATACATGACACATACACATGGAGATGTGTACAAATAACACATAAAAAAAAAGAAAAAAAAAAGGCTAATCCCTTGCTAATTAGCGACGGAATACCTCACTTTGTTTCTGTCGCTAAAAACTTCACTAATCCTCAATTTTCTAGTATTGCTATTAGTTATATGTTTTTGCTTCCATACTATTGTTTAATATTGTTATTTGTTGTTTGATGATCCATCTATTATTCTTATTAGTCAATGACGTATTTCATAGTTTTGTAATTGATCAATTAATTATCTATGTTAAATGTATTCGGTTAATTCCTTTATCTCTATTATGTTTCATAGACTCTTAGGGGTTGTTTACCAAACGCTTACTCGGGTAAGTGAACACCAAGTCACATTACCTTATCGGATGAATATGGTAAGGACCAATAATCTTACCCAGTAAGAGCGAGACAATGACCAAAAGTCTTACCCGGTAAGTGAGGACGACGACTCTTACCACGGTAAACGCATGAATATGGTAAAGACCAATAACCTTACCCGGTAAGAGCATGAATATGGTAAAGACCAATAACCTTACCCGGTAAGAGCGAAACAAGAACCAAGAGTCTTACCCGGTAAGTGAGGGCGACGACTCTTATCATGGTAAGCGCTTACCGGATAAATTATTGCAAACAAAACCGTTTTAGTGGACTAAAATCTTACTCGATAAGTAAATGATAATGTTAAATTTTACCGGTAAGAGTTTACCGGGTAAGTGTTTGGTAAACGGCCCCTTAATCAAGAAAAAAAAAGATGAAAATCAATTTCAAATCTTTCCCTCTATTATTTGACTTGTTCATCTTTTATTAGGAATTAATTACACACTTTAAGATCTTATTCAAGTGATCAACCAATCATTCATTGAGTTTACAGATCATACTTCTCACCGTTATTTTTTTCTTTTTAGGTCTCAACGGGACACCTTTTCTCCATATTTTCACTCATCCTCGTTTGTCTTCTCGCCCAAAAAACTTCGATGATTTTCTCCGTCATTCATCTTCCACTGACTCTTTTGATTACTTCATCTACATGAGTTCCTTCTCTATAAAAATAAATCATATCTTTTATATACTAAGGAAATTTCTACCTTTTGAAAAAATTACTAATGCATACGGTTCAACTTATATCTATATTTACAATTTCAAAACCACCCTTGTTTTATCATACATTCTTGACTCCTAGTTACCTGATGTTGAGTTTCTAGATCTTTAACTGCTTTCTTATCTATAAAAAGTAGGATCTAAAACTATAAGCAACATAGACCTTTGATTCCCAACTTGATGGTTCAAAAAAGTTTGTTTTAATCTAAAGGGGTGTTTGAGATTGCTTATAAAAACAACTTATTGACTTATTTCGATGTGGCACCGGTAAATAAGCACTTGTGAGTGTTTTGATAAACAATTTATATCGGTGTCAAACTAGTAATAAGAAGTTTTTGAAGATGTTAAATCATTCCGACTTATAATAAGTTGACAAGTGTTTTTATAGAAAAGAATAATTTGTTTCAAATAATCAATCCCAAACACCCCTAAAGTTACAAAAAACGATGAAAAACATTAACATTGGGTAAGATAAAATTTCAACTCATTTATATTGTTTTACATTACTTCAAACAGTAAACGTTATGACCCAAAAAGATGCCAATAAAAGGTAGATGTATCATATTAATCATAGGATATCGTTCATGGTGGAACAAACTGATGATGCTATGTATGGAAAAAGTTATGTTAAATAATATTGAGTTAGAAACCATTATTGATTGATTCTGCATACGGAAATACTCGAAAAGTTATTTCATATGAATTATTAGTATCTAGTGTATTTATTTATTTTTATGATAAAAACCATTTATTGAACTCGAGGAAAGTGAACGTAGAGAAGTTGGTGATCATTCTAAACCTTGATTTCGTATTTCTTTCTGTTACTCTTTATTTGAGCAAAAGTTGATCACCGATAATCACAACCGGCCCACACAGAACCCGTCTCTAAGGACACCAATGTGAGAGGACATTTTTAGCTCACTCAACGGATTGAGGCTGATGTGGGGCCTCAGATCAAACCCGAGACCTGTCTTATATTTGAACAAAGTTATCTCAATCCCTTTACCGGCTACAAACCAAACGTATAGAGAGGGCTTTTTTGGAGAATAGAAGATGTTCTTCATTTATACTAGAAGCGTACTCGCGCAATGCAGCGAGATACATCGTGATTTTAATATTTCATTTTATTCTTTATCTCAGTCGATGTTATAATATGGTCTTATGTGATTTTGAGAAAACAATGATGTTTTTATTTTTGAATAAAATATATGTTTGAAGATATCATAAAAATTTGACAAAAATATATCGATATTAGTATCAAATTAACTATTTG